TTGTTCCATTCCCGCCTCTTTGGATGTTCCCCCAGAGTCGTGGGTGCACAATTCAGGAAGGCCCTCCAGCCAGTCCATGATGGCCATGTACTCCTCCACGGCTTCAGGTGGGATCTCCTCGGGTGCCTTGGTCTCTGGCGGCCTCTGACCTTTGGATGCTGATGGCTGAGCAGGCTGAGCCTTGAGGCCAGTCTTGCTGGAGTTGCCCTCTAAGGGAGAGGAGACCAGACAAAGCAAGGATGGGGGAAGAGCTTCCACACCAGATGGCTGAGCAGCAGAGTTTAGTAGCGCTACACCAGCCCCAGACCAGCACAGACAATGGAGCCAGAAGAGACTGCAAAATGTGGAATACATAAGACAGCCATGCAGTACCAAATTCTGAGACACTGACATTCTGGTGCTCTCCCCATCCCATTGCTGATCCTGGGTAGGTGTTGTCCAAGGTGCTTGTGCTGAGAGGAGCTATAGACATAGCCCTATAATAACCAGTTCCATGCTAACAATTCCTCCAGAAAACTCAGGTTCTGGAGGGATGCTTTGTTTCCATTGTAAGAGGAACTCCTCCATCGAAAACAGAAGCCCTGCATGTGGGCAAACCCTTCGAGACCCCATCGGCCACTTCACGCCATGGACTCCAATAGAACATTGAGAGACTCTACCTGGCTGCTGGAGAATGTCGGGGGATGAGGGCCTTGGAGAATCTGGCTTCAGTGGGATGGCAGGAGGCGGGCCTTGGACCTGCATAATGCCCTGCAACTTTGAATTCTCTATCACCTCCGTAGCCTCAAATTCCATGAACCTGGGAATGTAGGAGGCACAGGGTGAGCTGAGAGGGGGAGGAGCCCCATGGGCAATTCCCAGAAGGAGGACATAGAAGGTGTGCAAGCAGTACTCTGAGGTTCTTGCCTAGGCGCAGAAGGTTGCTGATAAAGGATGAAAAGAAGATGTCAGTGCGGGAAGGAGTGACACTGTCCAAAAGAAGCGCACTCTTCCCATGGTGCACATGACTGCATCACTCTGAATAACACACTTATAACAGCAGTAAATAATATTTTTAAAAAATGCGAAGTTCAGGGAGACTTTGGATCGCCCAAGACTTGTGTGGAAACAAGTGACCCAGGAAGGGCCTTCAGTGACCCATCTTCTGAGCCTATTCCATCCCTGCCCCTAAGCGAGGAGGTGACTGGCAGAAGCTGATCAGGATTGTGATTGACAGAGAGAACAAAGAGGAAATTAAAACCTTGGGTTCCTAGAGCAGGCATGGGCCCTAGACTCTCATGAGCCACTGATACCTGGAGCAGTCTTTGCGTTTGCACAACTGCCCATGTTGGAAGGGACCAGTTGTTGGCTGATTTCCACACCGGTCTGACCCTCAGCCCCCTGGCAGGAGTGGACCAGGCATCCGTGAGGCAGGAGTTTGTGAGGCCCCCAACTCAGAACTCAACCCGCACCTCAGAGAGACTGTGCCACTGCCTGGACAGAAGGCTGTCAGGAGAAGGGCATCTTCGGTGCATGTCCATGCCCTTCCTGGCAGTGGGAGTGATGAGCCCCACTGGGCCCAGGCGTGCAGTCTCTGCCCTCCTCCACCACACAAACCCCAGCTCCAGGGTCCCTCACTCACTTGGCCGCCATCTCGTGAAAGTTCATGCGCTCGTAATTGCTAATGCCTTCCCACTCCTGAAGGCCTCTCCACAGGCCCTCGTCCAGGGACATGGTGGGATTCAGCCGGGCCAGGGACCGAAGCACTGGGCTGCAATTCATCAGGATCAGTCACAGCCCACAGCCCACAGGTGACCCTCCATTCCCAGTGGACACAAACCCTGTGCTCCTCACCCTTGCTGCCTACATGTCCAGCTCCCATGTGGGCTCTTATCTCCAGGTCACCCTTATGGACCACAGAAATCAGTAGCAAGGCCACTGCTGGCCTTCCCCATGTTCCTGTGAGTGCTTTCCATTAGTGAACATTCTAGACTGAAATACTCTGAAATACTTAAGCCCCTGGTGATGCTATTGGGAGACAGGGCCCTGGGCCAGCCTAGCTTAGGTACAGTTATGGAGATGGCATTCTTTGCCAGGACAGGACAGTGGCCTTGGAGAGACAGACAGGAAGAGCAGCCAAAGCTATCTCTCAGCCCTGCCTGACACACACAAGGCAGCCATGAGGAGAGCCATCTGCAGACATGGAATCTTCCAGCCCAGAATCAGAGAATTCCATCCTCCAGACTGTGAGCAAGGAATGGTTTCCATTGCTGGTTCCACAAGTATGGGTGAGGCCTGAGCTGAGCGGCACATGCCCAGAATGGTCTTCAGCCTAAAGTCAAATTGTGGCTCCCTTCTTAGCAGGTGCTCTTTGGGAATGGGGTCCTTTCTACAGTGCTAATCCTTCTGGAAAAGTAAAATGACTACACTCACAGGGGTACCATGGTGCAAAGGGAAGGAGCTTTTCTTGGCCCTGTGTGACACTCCCATTTCTGTGTGTGGTTTTTCGCTACAGGAGGGATCAGCTTCAGGACTTCCCTGCCCTTGTGGTGTGGATTCCCATGCAGGAGCACCCCCAGGAGCTCCAGGTTCCCAGAGGAGACACTCACATGAAGAAGCAGGCAAGTGCCTCCCCATCAGGAGTCTGTGGAAGTTTCTTCCAGACCAAGGCCTTCAGTTGCTGCCAGCGCCGAAAGTTCTGATAGACACTGGGAGGTGGAGGCTTGGCCTGGGATGTGGGCCGACTGCCCTCTGTACAGGGCCTCTGTGGCCACGGTGCCTGCTGGCTCACTGGGGGCCTGATGGGAGCCTCCTGGGAAACTGGTGGTGTTGATCCCAGGGGTGGGCCCCAGGTCAAGCTGTCTTGGGCAGCCTGTCTACATCCAGTCATGGGGACACTCACTGGAGCACTGGTGGCAGGACCAGGCAAGAGGAGTGGAGCTGGGCACATGGAACCCACATCCCCAGGAGGGACATTCCAGATGAGAGGGGCCTGAGTGACAATTACTTTTGGAGTGTGGAGGGGCACTGCTGGCCTTCCTCCTGTCCCCATTTGCACAATGACATGGGAGGGGCCTGCCCCACTGGGTTTGCAGCTTCCTCCTGACACCAGAGCTGTGCTGGGGAAAGCAGGCAGCACCAGAGGGCTCCCCTGAGGAGGGAATGCCGCAGCCACTGTTGGAGGTGGACAGGGAGGCTGCTTCCTCAATGACCCTTGTGCTGGTTCTGGGGCGGCTGTGTGAAAGGGCAGCTCTGTGAGAGGAGCTCTGGAAGCAACGGGGTGCAGGCTCAGGTAGGCTGCAGACACTGGACACGCTGCTGGAGAGAGAACAGGGTTCATTGAAGAGGGACAGGGCACACAGAGGTGCTCCCTAGGACTTGGAAAAACGGAGGAGTAAGGAGGAACGACAGCAAGTCAGGGCTTGCAGTGGGGAAATAGTGTTTCACAGATGTCCCCAAGTGCATGCCATGGTGTGTCTCTCTTTGAAGATTAATCCTGCCTAGGACTTGCTCCTGTTCTACAACACCCCTGCACCTGTGTGTGCTGCGATTTACCCCTCAGCTTCTTCTGCTTCTGTGGGTCTCCTTCAGGCATTCTTGGCAGACAGCCCATGTCCCTGAAGGCCGTTTCCCAGAAAGGGGTGAATTTGCCCGTTTTTGGCACCATGATCCACTAGGCATGCTTGCTGTTGTGCAGGAGACCCTATCCATCGGTAATGCTACGTCGAATCTTCTCTATCGAGGTATCAGATTCAAAAGCTGCCCCTTTACCTCCTCAGCCTTCCTTTTCTTGATGCTCTCCATAAACCTCTCCTTTTGTTTCTCCCCTACCACCAGAAACCAAAGCACTGAATGAAATCTCTCACCTAGTAGCATAGGAAGTCTAGAGTTGTCCTCATAACACAACCCACAACCCACTTCACATTAGCACCTTCCTGGATAAACAGTAAGGGAAGAGGCTTCTCACCAGGCCTTTCCTATGTAATTGCTTGTCCCTTCCTTCACAGAACCATTGAATGTGTGGCTGATGTCTTGTCCTTGCACAGCCAGGCATGGCTTCAGAGGACCAGAACGCTCAGGGTATGAGGAGTAGTGAGTCAATAATGGGAGAGTCTAGAGATTTTCATAGTCACTTTGTCACATCAGAAATGTGTCACTTTTCTGTTTTGCCCTCAGTTCTATCATGGATTGGGTAACAAGGATCCAGGCATGAAGCAGATACACAGGGTCAACAGTGATCTAGAATACAGCATGTTCTGCATGCCCTCATGTAGCCTCTGTGAAGAAAATTAGGTGCTCAGGTCCTACATCCAACCACCAGGTCACCTGCTGTAACTTGAATGACAAGAGTAACAGCAGAATGTCCTCCCCACTCAGTGGCGTTCCCTCTGACCTCTTCAGAAAGACAACCCTAGAATCTACAAAAGGAAAGTCGGCAGCAATCCACATCAGTTCCCTATGCATGAAATACCAGCTGGAGGAGATGGGCCCAGCCTTCATGTCCACAGACAATTAAAGTGCAGAGATTGTTCACAAAACAGAAAATCAGAAGGCTTCTTTGTATCAAAGGGATGACAGTCGCCAAGTGTGTGCAGCCCAAGTTGTGTGTCAGTTGAAGTGTCCAGGCCGCCCTGTCCCTTTGCGATGAATGGCATGAGTTACCTGGACTAACATAGAAGTCCCCTATGGATAGGAAGAGACCAGCAGGTCTGGCCTGTGGCCAGTGGAATGATCTGCAGCCTCGTCTAAGAGACCATATTCCTAGGGTCCTCATGATGACTCCCTTGGGAGCCATGTCCAAATTACCATACTTTCCTGAGTCATCTAGATGATCTTGGGAAAGTTCAGTGCTCTGCTGGTAAGCTACAGCTCAATAACTCAAGGTGGGAGTGTGGTGGCAAACTGAAACTCCAGAAACCTTTCAGGGATAGCTGGGGGTTAGAGGTTCTGGCCCTGCCCTTCAGGCTTACCTCCATCTGAAGCCATCCCCACAGGGTTGGACAGGGCCCACAGCTGGCTGGCAACCTTCGAAGGGAGGAAAGTCAAGTGGAGAACCCAGAGAGCAACGTGGCTCCAGTTGCTTCTCAGGGTCCAAGTACAACTGGGGAAAGTTTAAATGTAAATAGCAGTAGAATGTGGGGGTCAAGGCATTCTACAGTGGGGGAGGGGCAGAGACCCAGGAGGGCTGGGTGGGGAGTTGACAGACATTCCATTAAGGGCTGTGGCAGGTGGGCCAGAACCTCAGTTCCCTCTAAATAATAATACAGAGGCAAGATGACTGGTGGGTGCCCAGGCAACTTGAATATTCGCTCTCACACGCAGAGGCCAATGGTTTTGCTGATGTTTTCTTCCTTCATGTCTTCATCCATAAGCCTGGTTTTCTTTCCTTCATCCCACCCGATGTCCTTCTGCATGAGTAGATTCTTGAACCATTTCAATGGGTTCATAAGTTCGGTCTTTAAGCTCAGGTTTGCCAATACATATGTCTATTTGCATGTGTACATCATGTGTTTATATAATGTGTATGTATACATAATGTGTATACATCGTCCTTACTCACACATAATTCTGGCTAAAGATGATTTAAAAATATGAAATATCCATGGTAGCCTCTAGACTTCATAGCCGTAGAGAAGGCTCTGAGAAATAGGGAGGCAGAAAACCTACTCTTGCCCTATGGTAAAGATGCTTCATATTTCTCTTTTCCTTTTTATGCAAACATTAGAAATTCTCTATCCTTCTTTTGTCTGTGTAGTTTGAGAAGATCCAGGCTTCCACCCACCCATCCCTAGTACTCATTCCTCTGTGTCCCCCACATGGTAGTGGGAGCTGTCCCCTGGGATCCTGGCCACACTGCTCACTGGCTTCCTAATGGCTTGTCTCCATCACATCCGCTTGTTCTTTGGAATCCGGTTTATTTGTTGCATGGGTGATATTAATGACTTGATGTCTTGTCTTTGGCATCAAGTTGTTTTAGTTTGTTGTTGTTTGTGTTCACGCTACGATGGTGGTGGAGCCACACACATCCAGTGAGACACAGAGGTGAAGTTTTGTGTTTTGATCTTTAGCTGAGCTAGTGCTTCTCTCATCATCTTCTGTGCTGAAGTGCTGCTGGGACAGCTAACCACACCGTTCACAGCCATGTGACTTCAGGGTATATATGTGATGGTCTCTGCAGCAGGGAATCGTACATCTCTATTTCTAAATATGTTTTGTACTTTTTTTCCTCTCATGTCTGTACAGTTCCCGTGTGTTCATACCATTGACACCTATAAGGATAAAATGATTTTGTGGCCAGTTGCTGGTGACTTAGGCCTGTAGTCCAAACTAGTCAGGTGGCTGGTATGTCAGGATCAAAGTTCAAAGCAATCCCAGGTAGAATATCCCTAAGACTCTGCTCTCCAATAAACTACTCCAAAAAGTGAGAAGTGGGGCAGTGTCTCAAGTAGTAAAGGAAAAGATACTCACAGACAATACCCAGGCCCTAAGTTCCAGTCCCACTTCTGGCAAATAAAAAGGGGAAAAGGATGATTTTTGTCCAAGGTTGGTTTAATGTGAGGGTCTGATAATATTTCATGTAGGTTCACCCAGGTTACAGATTTTTGTTTCCATAAAAGAGTAAGTATGAATTGGAAGTGTGATTTTGTGATAAATTTTGGTTTTAAGACTTGCCTAGCAATCAGTTAAGCACCAATTGTGAGTCTATCTGAAGAGTAATTGTTTTAACCAGCTCTTAAAAATTTGGGTTCTCATGTACATATTGTGACAATTGCAGTTCTTCAATGTCCAAATCACAGGAATTTTAATACTCACAGTTTATTCCAAGCGCAAAAGACATTGCTAGAAAATGCACAACGAGACATAGGATGAGTATGAGGAAGAATCCCAAAGGAAAGTATCTGCTACATAATGGACTTCACTCCTTGCTGGCATCCTACAAATGGGAAGGGAAGAAAAGTCCAGAAGGACTGTTCCACTTTGTGACCTTTCTTGGAAACAGCTGAGATATTTTGACCAAAATGGGTGTTGTATGAAGAGTGAAAAGGGCCTGGCGGGTATGGAAGACAGAGCATCTCAAGTCCAGTGTGGCCAGGTGGGGGTGGGGGAAGGGGGGAAGAGTGTCCCTGATTTGTGACGCTTGTGTGGCTCCATGTCTCAATGCTTCTCCAATATCCTGTTTCCTACCACCTATATTTCTGAATGAACCTGTGCATATTTCCATCAAACGTCTGCAAGGTGTTTGGTCACAGTGACAG